ACATACGCAAATCTGTGGTCTTCATTGTCCCTGCTCCTTGTCCATAATTGGTACTTGGTAATGCTTATCAAATTGAAGGGATTGAAATCAAAGGGCAACAGGTGTTAGAATCTGATTCAATAAACCAAGTAAAATTAGGCTTTTATTTTTTGTTGTTGTTAATGCTCACACAAAATTCAAATCTTGCATGAATTTTGGGACACCCTATAGAATTCTACATCATGCTTCTTAGATTTGGGGATAACATTTTCATAACACACTATAGGGAAAAGGTAGTCAGATAATTCCCCACATCTCTCCGTGGTTTTACTTTATGTCTGCACACTGGGCACTCCCTGTGGAGCTGTTCAGAGAAACCTGAGGACAGACAACCTTGGCACCAACCCTTGAGACCTTTGGTCACCACAGCTGATGTGCCCAATATGGGCCCAATTTCTTGCTTTATCTAACAGAATATTAAACGACAAATATGAGCCCTGGCTGGTGTGACTCAGTGGTAAGAGTACTGCCCAAGGTCCAAAGGATCTCTGGTTAGATTCGCGGTAAAGGGCATATACCTGGGTTACAGGTTCGATCCCTGGCCCCAGTCGGGGCATGTGCTGGTAGCAAACAATTGATGTCTCTCTCACATCAGTGTTTCTCTCTCTCTCTCTTTCTCTACCTGTCTTTCTCTCTCTCTCCCTCTCTTCCTTCCACTCTCTCTGAAAATCAATGGAAAAATTATCCTTGGGTAATTTAAAAACATACGAGTATGAATTTACAGTTATTCCCTCACGCCCCAACACACACACACACACACACACACACACACACACACACACAATCTTCAGAGGATTATTGGTAATCTATGAAGATTTTCATGTACTTCACAATCTATCTCTCTTTTTCTGTAGCAGATCCCGACATTTATTCTTAACATAGATCAATCATCAGTAAAGGAAAGAGCAGACATGTTGGAGTCAGACAGGCCTGACTCTGACTTCCAGCCTGTTGTTGTGCAGTAGAAAATGTCATGTGTGATATGCCTAGTGCTTTGGGTGGCATGTGGCAGGCAGCTCAGAAATAGCAGCAAGTATTCTTATTTAATGAAAGTCCAAATTGCCTCTGTGGAGCATTATCCAAGGAGCCTGCCTTTTCCACCAAGTTGTGCAGGAGCCCTGAGCGTTCGGCAGTGCGTTGTGGCTATTAGCAAGCAGGGCGCTGGTGGGTGTGGAAGTTTCAGGACCAGCAAAGAGGCCTGGAGAGAAGCGCTGGCCTCATAGCGCAGGTGGTGAGCGTACATCCCTCCCTTCCACGGTGCACCCCTCCAACTCACACACCATATGACCTCCTCGAAGAAAACCCACCAAATTACCAGGAATAAGTATTGGTAGCTCCTGGCAGATCTGGCCCATCTGTGTTGTCTTGAAGAAAGGACATTTCAAGAGGACAAAGCTTGCTTGGTGCCTAGAAATTGAGGGAGAATGAAAAAAAATACCACTTAGTTTATTTATAAAAATTATCAACTAAAACTAAAAAGTCTAACAGTGCTTACCCTTTGTGAGTAGCGAGGGGTTGTGAAGACTTAGAGAATCTTTCTTTATCCTTCCTTCCGAGACTTGCCATTTGGTGGAGGGTAATCCCCTATTTTAAACATGGAGCTCAACAAAGGTATAAAGGTGTGTTTCTGTTTGGATGTGGCCGTGCCTATATGCAGTGCAGATGCCAAATGCAGGCTGTAAAGGGGGGAAAAAAGATTATTCAAGGGCCACTTGGTGATGAGCTTGACAAGTAGCTCCAAAGGTTAGTTTGGAATCACCCAAATAGAGTTGTCCTTTTGTTCAGCGTCACTGATGTAATAACAACAAGAACAACGAAGGAAACTGATTTCATTCAAGCAAGTGGAAGACGGAGAGCGTGCAGACCTGAGGAGCAGACTGTCTCGGCAGCCTGCTCTTGCATTTGATTCTCACAGGGAAGAGCAAAGAGCGGGATTGTTCTGCAGTTGGATGAAGGCTTAGTCGCTGAGCTGAACAGGAAATTATTATCTCTGTGGCCATGGAGTTTTAGGGGGAAAGACCTAATCTTAAGTAATCCTTCATGAGATGAACAAGAAGTTGGAGGGCTTAGATCTGCCCTTTACAGCAGGTTCGGGAAGAAGGGAAAGGATCTTTGTTTGGCCTCATCACAGGTAAACAAGGGGGTCATCAGCTAGTCTCTTGGGAGCCATGAGAAAACGTTGACAAGGAGCCTTATTTATTCACAGAGGGAAGGAGGTTCCTGGTGGGCAGCCATTTCTTAGAGCATAAAAGGGTGAAGGGATTTCGGAGACCCACAATGGTGGGGACGGGGTTCTTAAACATTGCCGTTCTCAGAGCACAGGGCTCAGGGCAAGTTCAACATGGATATTGCCATAAAGTTATAGCTCT